GGGAAGGCAAGGAGGGACGCTCGGATGCATGAGCGACGCATGCTGACCCGTCCCTCACAGCCTCCGTCACTTTCCATTGTGGAGCTCCTCTGACGCATATTCGAGCTCAACATGAGACGCGCGATGAGTCAGGTTCTTCCACGATGCTCAAAAAATGGGTCAATGTAAAGATATATACATAAATCTTTACATCTCCCGAACACGAATATCTGAAGCTCTTTCAAGACTTCACGCATCAATTTCAACGAAGATGCCGATGCCCACTCAGTCTATTCCCACGCCACCCAAAACCCAATAAATTCACGTCATGTTTTTTCATTCAACATTCTCCATGCGGTCACACGCTTGAAAGAAAGACGCAGCGTGTCCATTTCCAGGCCCCCTCCGCTCCCCGCCTCCATGGCCCCCCTTCTAACTTTTATTCGACACCCGCCCGCGCAACGTACCACAAGCTCCCGCATGGGATTGTTCTTCTTGTCTGCCATCGTCCCGAGCCAGGTGCTGCGGAGATAAAGGCTGTGCGATTGCGAGAAAAAGTAGAAACATGGGTCGCGGCGTAAGGCGAAGCCTCTCGAGGCTGTACGAGGCACTGCATCCAAACGCGAGACAGCCCCTTTATCCTTCCATGCACAGTGGCACATTTATATGCAGTATGCCAAAACAAGACTCCTACTCAAGTAAAGAACCTGGTAGACACCAAGAAAATAAGCCCTCTTTCGCCCCCGCCCTCCTTCTCTGCGGCAGTGCTGAGAATGGTTGGTTACCAAGTCTGGCAGACGAAATAAGCACCCAAAACAACCACCATTTCTGACACTAGGGTCATGGCCTTCCATCCAACACTAAAGACGTGTGGCCATCCCTACCTGGTACCAAGCCCCCATGCACACGCCCGTGGTGCTTCACTTCTCGCCCTCGACCACCCACGGAGGGCCGAGAGCGACGCAGGCGGCGAGAAGCTATCACAGTCTGTGGGATGTAAACCCTCGCCCGGGGCTCTAGGTTAGTTCGGACTCCGGCACATGCCAAATGGACTGCTGGGAGGACGTGTCTTGTGGTGCTGGACGCCAGACCTTCGGGCACGATGCCTGCTCTGGCAGGTTGTTGGCTTGCCCTGGGTAACGCACTGCGTGTTCATGCTAGTCACTCTTTTCCTTTCCTCGGAAAAGCGCTCATCAGCGGCATCTGGGCGAGCTTGCTTCCTCTTCCGTGATGTTATCGCCTGTCCATCGCGGTTTCACGATGGCTGCATGAACAGAAGGAAGATGATCCGTAATGAGTACGCTCGAACAACTGACGATTATGCTTTTGTCCACAGACTCTTAGAATCGAGGAGGTTGCCCCTGCGAGAACTTGTCTTCCCAAGACGCTATCTTGTTGAAAGTTACGTCCTCTTCCGCCTTCCAGGCCCGAGAAATTGGATCGAGGAATCTTCTGTTCTGGTTCTGCTCTGAGGAACGATTTCGCTGCCATTTTTGGGGGGCGTAAGCAAAATCATGTCAGCTCCCAAGAAAGCAAAGCATGTGGACCAATTTACAGCTCTAGGAGAGCTTACCACCTTGGTCTGCGACACGGGCGACGTGGAGGCGATCAAGCGCCTCAAGCCGACGGATGCGACTACGAACCCGTCTCTCATCTTCAAAGCCGCCTCGCTCCCGCAGTACCTTTCCCTTGTTAACGATGCCGTGGCTTATGGGAAGGCCCTTCCCGCCTCGCATTCTGATAGCGAGCGTTTAGCAGCAACCATGGACCGCCTTGCTGTAAATTTCGGGGCAGAGATCACCAAAATCGTGCCCGGGTATGTAAGCACAGAGGTAGACGCCCGCCTCTCCTTTGACACGGATCAAACTCTGGCCAGGGCCCGGCGCATCATCGGCATGTACAAAGAGCTGGGCATCTCCAAGGAGAGGATCCTGATCAAGATCGCCTCCACTTGGGAAGGGATCAAGGCCGCGGAGGCCCTGGAACAAGAGGGCGTCAAGACGAACCTCACCCTCCTCTTCAGCCTCGCGCAAGCTGTGGCAGCGGCGGAAGCGGGCGCGACGTTGGTCTCCCCCTTTGTAGGCCGTATCTTAGACTGGTGGAAGAAGGAAACGGGGAAGACGTTCGCGGACGCGGAGGAGGACCCGGGCGTGCAGTCCGTGCGTCAGATCTACGGGTACTACAAGAAGTACGGCTACGAGACGATCGTGATGGGGGCGTCTTTCCGCAACAAGGGGGAGATCACGGCGTTGGCAGGCTGCGACCGGCTGACCATCAGCCCGGGCCTCTTGGACGAGCTGAAGGATTGCCACGACCCACTGCCGCGGGTGCTGGAGGCTAGCAAGGCCGCCGCTGTTTACGGAGGTCCAAAGCTGCACATGAACGAAAAAGCTTTTAGGTTTGCCATGAATGCCGATGCAATGGCCACAGATAAGCTTGCGGAAGGAATAAGGGGCTTCGCGGCTGATATTGAGAAGCTGGAAGCTATGATCGCAAAGAGGCTGGGAGAGCATTGAATGTTGAGTGGAGCAATAGCATACAAGGGAAAAAGACGGGTTTGATGAACTCAGTGTGACAACAATAGAACTTCGAATGGTATGTGCAACATTTTGTAGATGAAAGGCGGGAAAAACAAGGAGCAATACACCAGACGGTCAGCTTGGAATTTATTTGCGCTGAGATATGGGGTCCCACGTAATGCACAGCGCCCATTACAGGGATCGATCGCCTTGCTGGCTCTTAAGCCACAGGAATACTTATATGCTAGGATATGCTTAGGCGCTCACTACATGCACACGGTCGATGTGATAGAGGCACGTCATGAGAAAGCCGTCAAACAGTAGTAGTGATGGGGCGGGGAGGTTAAATTGTAACCAGGAAATCTACAGGAGCAAAATGTTGATTTCAGGTCGATTCTTCTCAGGAGAATACAAGCTTAGCAGAGAATGCTGAGTGGGGATGTAGTTGATGTAGGAAAAGCAGAGAAAACAGCACTGAGCCTTACGAAGCAAAGTGACGCCATCTACGTTCCTCTTCCTTCCTCTTCGCTTGTTGTTATGAGGAAGCACGCTTTATTTTCACCGGTGCAGGCTCGATTTTTTTTTGCTGAGTTCGTTTTGCAAACAATACTTCACGTATGCGCGTCCATCACCGTGACAGGCAAAATGACAGGGCCCCTGCGAGCCGCACCGATGCCTGTCCGAGGGAGGAAACGGTACCGATTTCATGCTTCAGTGACCTTCGGGTTCCTCGGCTTCTGCTGCCTTGTGCAACGTGCCCAGTCATCTATGGGTCAGGAAGAAGCTCGTCTATATGACCGAAATCTGCAGCACTTTTCACCGGAGGGCCGTATCTATCAGGTAAAAGGTTTTTCATTTTATGTCGTAAGCCTCAACACAGGATTATGACTGCATGCTCAAGCAAGTGCCCATACGCTCCTTATTATTTATTACCTTTTACTATTATTACCTTGACTTGGGATCCTTTGGTCACGCAACTCATTACTAGGTGCAATATGCAGAACTTGCTGCTCGGCGTGGGAACCCAGTGGTGGCCGTGAGCAATAATCAGGACGCCCTAGCCTTGTGTGTGGAGCGACGGCGGGCCTCCGCCTTGGAGGAACCCGGTATTGCCTGGGAAAAAGTGGGCGAAATTCAACAAGGTACATACATGGGATTTGCTGGGCTTGCGGCGGATGGACGACGGCTGTTGGACAGGACAAGGTTGTTTGCGGAAAACTATCGCTTGAAATACGCGGAGCTGCCTGGCGTGAAGGACATTGCGTATTTCATCGGAGGTACGAGGGAGTGACGACGGTACAGGGTAACGACTGGAGTAGCCGAATGTTTTCCTTTGTGATGCTTATGTCCCAGGTTTCCGCCTCCAGATTTACAGCACCGGAACACTTTTGTACGCGCTCAACGGCCTTACGGCGTGTCCTGCGTGGTTGGGGGTGTTGACACAGCATCGAGCTCCCGCTTCGGCAAATTACAGGCCCGACCCTGCATCTTTGCGACGGAGCCCTCGGGAGTGGTGCAGGAGTATCGGGCTGTGTGCGTGGGGGAGCACGCGGAGATTATCACCGGCAGGCTGGAGGCACGCGCGGGCGAGTTGGCCAAAATGCGGGCCGGACAACTGGCTCGATTTGGTGCACGCGTTTTGTGGGATGTGCGAGAAGGGGAGGATAAGCAGGGGGCTCCGGCAAAGGTGCAAGGAAGGACGGACGCGGAGGGCGGACTGAAGTGTCTGGAGGTGTTGGTATTGCGCCGCATGAAGAGGGAAGACGCAGCGGAAGGGGAGGAGGGATGGTGTTGGAAAAGATTGTTGGTTAAGGATGTGGGGGAGATAGAGGCATTGGAAAGAATTTTGGATGAATGAAAGAAAATAATTACAAAACGAGCGAAGAGCCAGACGCAGGCAAGAAAAAGGCAAGGTGCTGAGTGGGCGGTCTTTTCCCGATTGATCCTTTCTCTGAACGTCGTATGAAGCATCCCACAAAACATGACAGATGTTGATATCGCGCTGGTGCATCGCCGCATGGCTTTTTTGGCGCTCCCGCTTTGCGCTTCTCATCTCTTATTCAGCATGCCCATCATGAAATGAAGGGGATCCCTACCACCGTCTGCCGACAGTAGCTTGGATACTCTTGAGGGTAAAAAGTTTTCAAAGTCCCCTCTTCGTACTTTATTCTTGCTGCGAAGAAGCGCCAGCTCACCAAAGCATAAATAAGTGCGCAAAGAGGGTTGCACAGAAGAATTTGAGTGCCGACCACCCACCAGAACCATCCACAATAGGAAGGATGTCGGAGAAAGCGATAAATGCCATGCGTCACAAGTTGATGGTCCTTTTGTCGCGTTTCCATGATTGTGTGCGAAAAGTGACCCCGGGCCGTGTGCATGGCAACGATCCGACAGGCTTGTCCTCCAACAAGAAAGAGCAGACCAAGAAGGCAGGTAAAAGAGCCAGAAATCTTGAGGTCCGGGAAAAACCAAAGCTCCAGCCAGAATTCGGCCCATGCGGCCAATGCTGCAACAGTATATTCCTTGGAGTGATTTATCATGTAGGCTGTCGAGTGTAAGGATGTTGGGACTGATAAGTTATACCTTAAGCACGAATGACAAAGCACGGAGGCCACAACGCATTTTCGGTTTTAAGGTATCTAAAGGATGCCAAAAATCAAGAATGTCTTGTTCAGCATGCATGGTGACGCAAAATCTTATAATACTCACAATCATATGTAACAGACTCAGGTTTGTAAAGTGCTGTACTCAAAAACTCCATGAAATGGAAGCAAAACAGGGAGACCATGTATGCGCTCCACCGCACCAGCCATAGCTTGTTGTCATTGCCGAGTAAAGCAGCAAAGAAGAGGACCAAATGCGCTCCCCAAAGCCCTCCGAGAAGAAATCCAGCCAGGCCTATGCGACCCACACCCCTATTGGTATGGAAAGCAGGATTGGCGGCTGCAGCGGGAAAATTAAAATCCAAGCATTTTTGCAGTCGGTCGATGGACAACATCCGGAACCTTTAGAATATGAGTCATATGTGTAACGTGTCGAATTAGCTGCTCGCGCTTGCATACATCGCCCTTCGTCCAGGGCGGCACCAGATCGAGGCCACATTGCGCACAGAGTTCTGCTCGGGGCTTGCGTCGCCGAAAAAAGTTCAACAAGGCGAGCATCCACTCCGGACACAATGCCTTGCTGCACTTAGAACCACAAACTCCAGAGGACACAGGTTATAAGCATTGCATGACGAAGAGGATCGTGATCTTCTAGGTGAAACACGAATAATACTATCTTCGGCCTTCAGTGTGAACGCGAGTATAACCTTCCTTGAAACCGTTCCTCCACCAGGCCGAGAGGTTCAGTGGGGTTGCGCCAGAGCACCATCATCATCAGCGGAAATTCTTGTCAGAATTTCTTGTTATTTTGATAAAAAAGATTCATGTGTGAGCTCATTTTTGATGCGCTGCAAGTGAATTTAATGGCCCACCCCAGTTTTCATGTCGCTCCTGCTCACACGACGAAGACCAACAAGACCCACCCAGCGTCACGATCACGAGTAAGACGAATCGACTACGTTCCCGCAAATCCCTTCGCGATAGACAAGGAAACTTCGTCGTCTTGCCAGATTCTGTGAATTTCTTCTTTTCCGACTTCGCGATTATTACCAATCTCTTCACCGGTAAGTTGGGCATTTTTTTTCGGTACGAAACGCGAAACGTTGCTTCAAAATTATGGCATAAGGCGTACGATGGAGGTTCTCCGAGATAGAGAGCACATTAAAATAAAGAGGAGGCTATTGTTGGGGGGAGAGATTCGGGAAGGATTCCCGGGCGCCAGACGCATGTTTCAACCGTCACGCAGCTTTTGAATTACCCGGTTCAGTCGATGCTGCAACCCGTTAGCGATCTGTAAGTTGCAAGTGAAGGCGAACATGAGAAAAAAAGAAGATAGCGACCGTCGTGAGGGAATGGACACGATGACGTTACGGCACGACCGACTGAAACAGCCGAATCGTTGCACAGGCACCACTAGGGTCATGGCCCGAAAAACAGGCGCATAGCCGTCCTTGTAGATTCCCCTCCATCCTTTGAAAGCACCCACCGAAGTGTTCGAAGGGCCCACCACATCGGCCGGCAGTGCCAAAAGCGTTCGCACGTCCTGCAGCGCCATCTTGTACCGTTCCACTGCCTCGAAGGCCTGTGCCCGCCGCAAGAGAGACTTCACGTCATCCGGGCGCACCTCCAGCACGGACGTGCAGTCCGATATGACTCCGTCAAAGTTGGAGAGCTGCTTGTGGCAGGCTGCCCGATTCGACAGGACTTTCATGGCGAAATCGGAGGTCTGGTCGTCCATCTTGTCCAGGGTCTTGCTATACTGCGCGATGGCCGCCTCGAAGTTGGCGTCCTTGTAAAGGGCATCTCCCTCTTCTTTCATTTTCTCGACGGGACTCAAACCCGCCTTTCGCGCCCTCTCCTTCTGTTCCCACAGGGGCTGAACCTTTCCCTTCAAAGCCACCAAAGCAGCGTTCCCGGCGTCGATGCGCAGCCCGCTTTCGATGGTGCTCAGGCAGGCACCGTAGTCTCTGCTTGCGAACTGCTGCTTGGCCGTCTCCACATACGAGGCGACTTTCTGTAGTCGCACCGCATCCTCTATCTCTTTCTTCATGCTTTTCAAGTCGCTGTTTCCAAAATCAATGCCCAAGCCCTTCATGATCGTGTCCAATGCTTGGTCGTACCGTTGCAGATTTTTCTGCGCCAAAGCCAAGCGGAAATAGCCCTTGACAAATTTTTTATTGGCTTTCACACACTCTGCGGCATCGTTTGCAGCGTTCTCCCAGTCTCCAAGGCCCGCGTAGGAAGCACTTCGATTCGACCAGTACGTGTGTGCGGTCGCGTCGAGTTTCAAGGCCTCCGAGTAATGTTCGATGGCTTTCGCGTAATTGCCAGCTTTAAAAGCTTGATTGCCCAAGCTGGGGAGAAGATAGAGGGGTGATAAATGATTTTCGTCAGACAATCGTTGCATGCTTGGTGAGATACGGATGGTTACAACATTGCTATGGGCAAAAGCTGAATGGTTCTGAGAAAGGAGGTAAGACTTCTGACTCTTCTCATTCGGGGAATCCGTCAGGCGCACAAAAAAGGGGGAAAAGGGTGCTCAATCTGACGTAAGCTGCTTCGTAGTGTATTTCTCACCTTTTCTTTTCCTCGGCCGCAGGAACAGGCATTATTTGACTTGTGGTTTGTGGAC